TATTGTGATGTAGGAGGCATATTCCACGATCAAAGATATAGTAGAACCCTCAATGACTTTCAGTCAATGGTTCATATCAATTATTATCTTCCATATTGTGAAAATCAATTTATTTTTTTTTAATATTTTTAACACTTATTGGCAATAATTAACACAGTAGAAAGCTATCTTTAACCTGTTAATCATAATTGAATGGATGAAATAATAATATTATGAATTGTAGCAAAACAACTCCTGCGGCTGCGGGGCCATTCTCCGTTTATATATACATAGAATCTAGTTCTTTCTACGGGAAGGCTGTGGGTTAACTTTAAATGTAAAGACACCTAGTCATTTAAATTAAAAAAAAGGTAGGACATGTACATGCAGGATTATTTATTATTGATGTGTTTGCTCTGCCTTTTTACTGCAAACGTTTTATGATTATAACTTCTAGGGTTTAATGCTGCTCTATCTATCTTTTTCTTTATTTATTATTTAACTGGCCCGACTGATACAGTTGGCTGTTGTCTGCAGTAGTGTTTTTGTATTTATCCCTAAACTCATCTGATCCTGTTTGTGCTGCCCTTGAAGCTGAAATTGTTAGATTAGGAGTACGATAATTCAGATTTCAGATTGTCTTGTTTAATGATATGAATTATTGTATGGCATTTAAGGGAACAAGATTGATGAAGAAATCAGAAATTAATGAAGAATATTCTCTCTATGTATGGCCGAAGACTTGTCACCTTGTGCTAGTTCAATGTTTTTCATACAACATGTTTGGTGACCAAAAGTTGATATAAAACAGGACGTGCTATTCCCCTCCCTCTTTGTTCATTTATTTTTATTATAAAATAAAAGCAATTTATAATATATTAAAAAAGTATCAATCCCAATTCACATATCTATTAATGATACTAATATATACACTGTCGTCCCCAATTGCTAAGATTAATAGATTTATCAAAGTAGAAAAAAACCAATGAATAAATAAATTATAATAATTTCGTAGTAGCCTTCTTTTATTTCTCTTATACGAATTGAAAAATTACGGAACTTATTTCATCCGAATAATTTATTAAACGGTAAACTAGAAAGGGTTTTATACATTAAAAAATTGACTTGAAAAACCGTATTCTTCTTTTCTAAGCCATATATTAGTAGATTATCTCTCTTTAAAAAAAAAAAAAAAAAAACAAAAAAAAAAAAAAAAAAAAAAAAAAAAATTGAATCAATAATTACCCCGAGAACTAATTAACTCCAAGAAAAATGATAACCAGCCACCATCAAATGAAGTAAGAGAACGTATAATATTTAATTTTTCACACATCCCACTATTTACAATGTTACGTTTCAAGATGAGTACATTTTTTATGGTAAGGTTATTCCAATTTTTTTAGCTTTGATCATCATACATATGCTCTTATATTTTTTTATTTTTTTTATTGGATACTCGTATGTTCGACCAGTTTATGCATACCTCAATAATCATCGAGATTCATTGAACACTTTTCAAACCTAATATTTTAATTAGTTACAAATATTACAGTGATCCGAGATTGTTTAAACTTTGAAAATCGATAAAATGAGCAAATCTTATAACTCTTAAGGTACTTATCCTTTTTTTCTAATATGTATCTGTAATGTAATACGTATCATTTGACATGCTGATGGCATTGTGCCACTTGTTTTTAGAGACAAAACAATGAATCTGATAAAATGTTACCATTATTGCTTCAAAAACATATATATATATATAAGATATAAGTGATTGTTCATGGATGGTTTCTCAAATAAAGTTAACCCTGAACCATCCAGGATATTTTTGTAACAATACATGTGTGCATCACATGCGAGGCCTTGATCGATCATAAAAAAGGTTATAAGAATTATAATAATGTAGTTGTAATAGTGAATAACAATAAATATTTTAAGAAAGAAACAATTCAAGTGAAATTATCGAAGTTTTCATGCATGAATCTTGTTGAAGAGGATGGAGACTGTGCCACATTCTAAATGGACGGCCCTTCTTGATATTTACCAACCTTAATTATATATTTTACATCTTTAATTTATACAAATCATAAGTGTGTTGTTTTCTCATTAATTAAAGTGAATTTGTACTAGATATCTCGTGATCATTTCTTTGTCATCATAATTGTTTATTTAATCTGTGAACAACTCACACTTTCAGTCTCCTTTTCTTGGTCTTCATTTTCTACAACATAATCTAATATAATAATATTTTATGCGTTAATTTTCACTCCTTTTAATTATATACATATGATTTCAGGATTATATATCATGTTTATTACTATATATAACATTTTTAACCACCAAAAAGAATATATTATGTCCACTGATAATAAGATGGAAGAAGATATTGTGTTTTTGCATATACAAGTTATTCAAGAATAACCACCGTTGGCGGCAGATAGACGATAGAACTTTTAGATATATTATTCAAGAGTTTTGAACTCGATTTTCCTTGGTTGTAGTAGTCAGTTGAGGGTTTTTCGTCATTACTTCAACTCTAGGGGATGGTTGAACATCCCTAGTTAAAAAAAAAAAAAAAAAAGTTATTCAAGAGTACTTATATCTTTAAATCCTCTAATTTTTTTTTTTTTTATCCAAATCCCATTTATTTTTTGGATAAAGATTGAAGCGTCTTAGTTTTATGGCTTTTTAGATTAGTAAATTAAAAAAAAAAAATAGTGTCATCAACACCAAAATACTTGAATTTAATTTATATGTATAATTAGTTGACATATAATTATAACTGTCCAATATTTATCTCGATTTTACTCAAATCGAATACAAGGAGATATTTTCCGTAGGCATATTGTGGCTATGAAAAGGTTTTGAAACACATCGACCTAACTCCGAATTCAATATTATTAGACAATTAATGTTTCACAATTTGATTTTTGAAACTTGAAGCATTTTTTCTTTCTTATTTATACTAAATAATTATGAATAATTTTGCATAGCATATATAAACTATTCTGATATCTGATAATTACTCAAATAAAAATAATAATGATAATTAATAGTGAATATCATTGCATTACGGATCTAATATTATCATCAAATTTAAATTAAAAATCTGAATATAAATATCCAAGATTTCAAGGTAATTGTAACTAGTAATTATTTATCTATTAACATCAGTCTTGCTTGAAAGGAAGTTAACTCTAATAAACTACCTTTAGGTAGTCGAGTAGTTCGATCGGGATAATTGAGTGTGTTATTTAAGAGGTTCTAAGTTTGATTCTCTTTGCGGTTGCTAATAAGTATAATCATTTGAGTTTTTACTCGGTCGGTTGTTTCAGGATCTTAGAAGATTAATTGAAGTGTGCATAAATTAGCCCGAATACCTCCTATCATTAAAAAAAACAAAAAAACAACTCTAATATGGTAATAAAAAGAAGGTGATTAAATATAGAAAAATTCTTATAAGAAACAGCATGGTTCCATATTTGTGGTCTGTAGAGGCAAACATAAAGGGAAAGCAATTAGGGTTTGCTTAATGTAGAATGGTGGTGGAAGAGTTTAAACTAGACGTGGGTTGGTGATGAATGTAATCCAGCTGGGTTTTGAGTGCTGTGTTTTGACTAGAGAGGGCTGCTCACCAACTTTCCACTTATTTTTAGGTTCTTAATTTACACACTCTCCCACAATACTTTATCTTTCTAGATTTTATATATAATATTACTTCCGAGAAATAAATAAAAATCAAATATCTTTTTTCCTTAAAAGGAAAATTCAATAATTAAAAAAAAAAAAAAAAAGAGAGATAGATTAATGAGAAAGAACATAAACTTAGAGAGTAGGTAAAATATTAAATATTTGGTAGAGATATTATGATGAGACCCACTAATATAAATTTTCATTGAATGAATTAATTAAATGAATGCTTTGTACTTGCCACACACTCATTCTCAGACACATTGTTGTAATTCAAATAAACCAAGAATTTAAAAATTAAAATCCATGGACTACATTTTTCCCCTTGTTTCCTCGCCATTGGATTGAGATATTTTATATCAAGAAGGCTGACCCTACAATTCAATAGAAGAATCTAGTGCCTGCCCAGTTGTGGCCTACTTCAAATTTTTAACCCTTTTAACTTATAAATTAAAGTAAATAATTTTTAAAATTGAAAAATGTTATTAATAATGTGGGAGAATGATATTGGTGGTGTGAATTGTGAATACGTGATCGGCTGTCAGTCATCCCATTTTATAAAATCACTCAGTTTAAACTCAGGGGGTTGGCTTCGTGATCATTTCCTTAAATTTTTGAATTCAAATTTTAGAATTATCTATCATAATAATATTATAGTTTATCTAATCTTTTAGACCGATAAAATGTTTAATAGATTTCAAAAATTAGTTTAAACTAGTATAAACTGATTTGTACACCATAAATATAGAAAGGAAATAAAAATAAATCACTGAGTTTCTTAGGTTGTGCTTTTATTTATAAATTTGACAAATGAATGGAGTAGTTAGACTCGGAATTTTAGGGTTTTGAGTATGACCTCAACTAAAAAATCCCCGTTTTATTGATTGCTACAAACAATTAACATTATTTAATTATGAGGACTCTTGTAGTCAATTTATTGGTCCGACACATCAATTTATTTTTCTTTATAAATTATAAGAAAAAGAAATGGCACTGTAGTTTTTACATGAAGAAAAAGACAAAAGGAGTAAGCAACGAATCAATTAGTAAAAAAAGGTTTTGATGAAAAATATATTATTCTGATTATTTTTAAAGCAGCAGCAATATCAAATATGCGATATATTGTGTATACATGAAAATTCAGAAGCCATTAATTAATTGCCATCATAAGATCTAACCGCTCAATTAAGAAACCGCGTCCGCTTTTTTGTAATTTTTTCCTCTGTTTGAGCGTCTTATTCACTCTCATTCAAATTTCCGTATAAATACAACCCTCTGTCAGACTCTTTCTCCTTCACATCCATACTCCACTACCACTACCACCACCACCACCACCACCACCACCATTGCTGTCACCATGACTCTCAAAACCATGCTTTTCTTCTTCTTCTTCTTAACGGCCTTCCTTTCGTTCTCGACTCAAGAAACTATCAAACCTCCGTTAAACAAGAACAATAATTTCTCTCTTTCTTTTCCTCTTACTTCTCGTTCTCTTTCTTCTCAAACTTCTCCCAAATTTTACTCCTCTTTCGTTGCGCAGACCAAGCGGAACACCGGAAAGAAAGCCGCTCCGTCATTGAATTACAGATCAAAGTTCAGGTATTCGATGGCTCTGATTGTGTCTCTTCCGATTGGGACGCCGCCACAGACTCAGGACATGGTGTTGGATACCGGTAGCCAGCTGTCGTGGATTCAGTGTCATAAGAAAGCTGCCGCTTCGCCTAAGAAGCTAGGTCCTCCTAGAGCATCGTTTGATCCTTCGCTCTCTTCTTCTTTCTCTGTTTTACCGTGTAATCATCCGGTGTGTAAACCGAGGATTACCGATTTTACCCTCCCGACGGATTGTGACAAGAACCGCTTGTGTCATTACTCTTACTTCTACGCTGATGGCACGTTGGCTGAGGGTAATCTTGTCCGAGAGAAATTTACCTTCTCTCCTTCCCAAAGTACCCTTCCTTTGGTCCTTGGTTGTGCTAAGGATTCTAGTGAGGATAAGGGTATTTTGGGAATGAATGTTGGACGGTTGTCGTTTGGTTCCCAAGCGAAAGTATCCAAGTTCTCATATTGCGTTCCGCCACGAAGCTCCCGAGTCGGGTTTACACCAACCGGGTCATTTTACCTCGGTGAAAACCCGAACTCAGCCGGGTTCCAATATGTTAACCTATTGACTTTTCCTCAAAGTCAACGCATGCCGAATTTAGATCCTTTGGCATACACTGTTGTTTTGCAAGGAATACGAATGAGTGGAAAAAAATTAAATATTCCAGCGTCGGTATTTCGGCCCGATGCTAGCGGGTCGGGTCAAACAATCGTGGATTCTGGATCCGAGTTCACCTATTTGGTGGACGAAGCTTACAATCAAATAAAAGCACAGGTCGTAAGACTGGTGGGCCCAAAGTTAAAAAAGGGGTACGTGTATGGTGGAGTTTCAGACATGTGTTTCGACGGAAATGCTCTAGTGATCGGACGGCTGATAGGCGACATGGTGTTGGAGTTTGATAAAGGAGTGGAGATAGTGATTCCAAAAGAAAGGATGTTAGCAAATGTGGAGGGTGGGGTCCACTGTGTCGGAATTGGACGGTCAGATATGCTTGGCATCCCAAGTAATATTATTGGAAACTTTCATCAGCAAAATCTGTGGGTGGAATTTGATCTCACCAACAAGAGAGTGGGTTTCGGTAAGGCTGACTGTAGCAGATCAGCGTAAATATATGTGGTGGTGCTTTGTTTACCGAACGTGCATGGACAGAAGAGAGTTAATATTAGATATTTTCTAGTGAGACTGTACACAAAATACTTAAAAAGAGTAATGGCCGTCCGATTGTCTGGTTTATGATGTTATGGAAATGTAAGGCGGGAGTAGGCCAGATGGTCCCATGGGACTATCGAGTATAGGCCCATTCTACTGTGTTTTATGAATGATGCTGAGGCTATGTATATATTAGGATGTGAAAATCATGTGACTCATTTACAGCCTAATTATTTTGTTTATTATTATTATTATTTACATTAAATTATAATATAATCGTGTTTAGANTTTTGAGTAGGGTCATCACTGGCCTCGCACATCCCTTATTAGAACCGACCAGGGCCAGCCCAAGGGGTAGGCAGGTGAGGCACCTGCCTAGGGGCCCCCCAAAAAAAGCCTAAAAAATTGGCCTAAAATTATTTTAAGATTTTTTTAAATAGATTTACAAAAATATCATTGGTTCTAAAAAAGTTTATAATTTTTTATCTAAACCGGTCCAAAGGGCTCCAAAAAAGCCGAAAATGCTCAAATTCATTATAATTTTTTTACATAAATTTACAAAAAAACTATGTTCCATATTTTCCATTCACACCCCTAAATTAATTAAACTAGTTATTTAAATGTCTAAAATTTCAAAACATCCATTCAATCCCTAAAATAATGAAAACATTACATTTCCACCCTTCTACACTGCCCCAAAGTAACTCTTATCTAGGGTCACAAATGTTCTTGAGACGGCCATGGAACCGACAGTATATTTTGATTAATACAATTGTCACAAATTAAGTTGATGTTGTAGGTGTAAAATTAGGGACCTCACAGCCATATATAATCCGTGTCCAAACCATGCAAATTAAGAGAACTTGGAACTTGGAAGTTAAACTTTTATTATAGGACCACATTCCAGCAGGACCCAGTTAAGCAAATAGCTTTATAATTAATTGGCAGTAGTCTTAATTAAGACAAGCGTGCAAGACATGACCAGCAAAAGCATGGCATAGAGTCTCTCTAACAATCAATTTGATTTCAATTTTCACATGCCCAATTCCTATTCAAAACCTTAACCTAGACTCAGCTGGATGTTTTGTTTTCTGGGCCACTCTATTCCATTATTATGACTTTAGGTTTAGGTACGAGGACCATTTTCTGAACCCCTTACATGTCTTTCCATTTCTTGAAGCCACGAATGAAATTACCCAGTTCAATGTTGCTCTCACCCTTAAATAATAATAACAATATTGTTTACTGCATCGTCTACTTCCTTAAATTTTTTTCAGTCTCAGTAATTAATCAATTATATGTTTTGCATTTCTATTGGGAGAATACCCTCTCTACCAACACAAAATTCACACACAAAACAGAATGATAAAGAACAAGACAAGATATTTTACCACAGTTGTGTGCTAACAAACCCTACATCCATGTTGAGCTCCACTCAAGGATCTCATTATACTATTAAGAAGAGAATTGCAATCACTCAAGATTACAAAGCTCGCTTACTCAATTACAAAATAAGAAAAAGCTCTAGGAATAAGAGAAAGCTCTAGAAATCTAACCTTAAGAATTTCCCTCAATGCTCTCTCCAAAACCTATGCTGCTACAACGTTCTTCACCACCATTTGACTCACTAATCCCTTGATTAGCACCCCTTTTATGTAGGGCTGTGGAGATGTACTTTCCAATTAGGATAAGATCACTTTAATGTCATCTAAATCTCTTTTAACTTTACATTCCTATTGTGTCTAGAATTAATAGGAAATATAACCTTCGTAGAACTAAAAACGAGCCAGTTTACTTAACACCTTCAAATAATAATATCAAGTTTTATTACTAACACTTAAAATTGAACATACATATGTTTGTGTGCAGCTGTAGCTGATAAAGATGGCTATAAGATCCATCATCCACAGGGCCTATTTAAATGGTTAATGGATAAGCTTTAGCATGATGATCACGAGGCATATTAGGTAATAATAAGGACGGCTTACTGATAAAATCGTGATAGTGTACTGTGGTCCATGAAGCATGGGAAATTTCTCTTATCTCTAACAACTAGTTTGTTTTATTAAGTAATGGATGAGTATGATTGATGTTCATGTCACTAGCTGATCCAGTGAAGGTAGCAACTCAGCTGCTACTACGCGTATAATAAAGCTAGCTGCTTCCTATTATCATGAAAACTATTGATTTTGTATATGCAAGTTGGTTGATTGGACATACCTATTTATCTCTATTAAATTAACAAATTTGACTGCAAGTCTATGTCTATCGTCTGATGTGATAGTGGGAGTGGGAGACTGATTATTATGGGTCTCCCCCCAGTCCTCAAGTCACCAAGAGTTGACCTCACTATACAAGATAAGCTTCAAAGAGAAAACTATAAAGTGTGTGTTATATATATATTATATAATATATTGTGATGTCGGAGGCATATTCCACGATTAAAGATAATAGTAGAACCCATCAATGACTTTCAGTCAATGGTTCATATCAATTATTATCTTCCATATTGTGAAATCAATTTATTTATTTTATTTAATTTTGTAATTGCTTATTGGCAATAATTAACACAGTTGAAAGCTATCTTTAACTGTTAATCAATAATTGAAATGGATGAAATAATAATATTAAGAATTGTAGCAAAACAACTCCATGCAAGCGTGGCTGCGGGGCCATTCTCGAGTTTATATATACATATGAATCTAGTTCTTTCTACGGGAAGGTCTGGGGGTAACTTATAAATGTAAAGACACTAGTCAACTTAAATAATAATAAAAAATGGTAGGACATGTACATGGAGGATTATTATTATTGATGTGTTTGCTCTGCCTATTTTACTGCAATACGTTTTATGAATAACTTCTAGGGTTAATGCTGCCTATCTATCTTTTCTTTTTATTATTATTAATTTAACTGGCCGACTGATACAGTTGGGTGTTGTATAGCAGATTAGGGTTTTTGTTTTTATCCCTAAACTCAATCTGATCCTGTTTGTGCTGCCCGTGAAGCTGAAATATGTTAAGATTAACGGAGTACGATAATTCAGATTTCAGATTGTCTTGTTAATGATATGAATTATTGTAGTGGAATTTAAGGGAACAAGATTGATGAAGAAATCAGAAATTAATGAAGAATATTCTCTTATGTATGCCGAAGACTTGTCACCTTGTGCTAGTTCAATGTTTTTCATACAACATGTTTGGTGACCAAAAGTTGATATAAAACAGGACGTGCTTATTCTCTCTCCCTTTTGTTCATTTATTTTTATTATTAAAAAAAAAGCAATTTATATGATATTATTGTAAAAAGTAATCAAATCCCAATTCACGTATACGATTATATATATACTGTAGTCCCCAATTGCTAAGATTAATAGATTTATCAAAGTGAAAAAAAAAAAACAATGAATAAATAGAATTATAATAATTTCGTAGTAGCTTCTTTTTATTTCTCTTATACGAATTGAAAAATTACGGAAATATTTCATCCGAATAATTTATTAAACGGTAAACTAGAAAAGGTTTTATACGTTAAAAAAATGATTCGAAAAACGTATTCTTCTTTCTATAGCCAATATAGTAGTATATTATCATTCCTTTAAAAAAAAAAAAAAAAACAAAAAAAAAATAAATTGAATCAATAATTACACACGAAGTACTAATTAACTCCAAGAAAAATGAAAAACTACACCATCAAATGAAGTAAGAGAACGTATAATATTATAATTTTTTCACACTATTTAAATGTTAGCGTTTCAAGAATGAGTACATTTTTTATTGGTAAGGTTATTCCAATTTTTTTAGCTTTAGATCAATACAACATGTCTTATACTTTTTATTTTTTTATTTGTATGTTCGGGGTGTCCGAGTCAGTTTATACAACACTCAACTAATCCTCGAGATTCATTGATACTTCCAAATCTAATGTTTCAAAGTTATTACAAATATTACAGGTGATCCTGAGATTTTAAACCTTGAAAATTAATAAAATAAGCAAATCTTCTAACTTTAAAGGTACTATACCTTTTTTCTAATATGTGTGTATACGTAAGCATTTGACATGCTGATGGCATTGTGCCACTTGGCTTTATAGAGACTAAACAATGAATCTGATAACAAAAATGTACCATTATTGCTCATTCAAAAACAAATATAAAGGGATGTTTCATGGATGGGTTCTAAATAAAGTTAACCCTGAACATCCAGGATCATTTTTGTAACAAGTAACATGTGTGATCACATGCGAGGCCTTATCGATCATAAAAAAGGTTATAAGAAGTATAATAATGTAGTTGTAATAGGAATAACAAATAAAAAACAAATAATCTTTTAAGAAAGAACAAATTCAAGCGAAATTATCCAATCACAACTGATTCTCCAAGTTTTCATGATGAATTGTTGAAGAGGATAGAGACTGTGCCATAGTCTAAATGAGACGGCCCTTCTTGATTTTTACCAACCTTAATTATATATTTTACATCTTTAATTATTACAAATCAATAAGTGTTGTTGTATCTTCATTAATTAAAGTGAATTTGTACTAGATATCGTGATCATTTCTTTGTCATCATAATTATTATTTAATCTGTGAACAACTCACACTTTCAGTCTCCTTTTCTTTGTTTCATTTTCTACAACATAATAAATAATTTTATACGTTAAATTTTCACTCCTTTTAAAATATATATACATAGATTTCATGATTATATATCATGTTTATTACCATATAATAACAGTTTTCTAACCACCAAAAAGAATATGTATATGTCCACTGATAATAGAGATGGAAGAAGAACTATGTGTTTTGCATATACAAGTTATTCAAGAATAACCACGCTGGTGTGGAGGGGATATATAAGACTCTTGATATATTATTCAAGAGGTTTTGAAATCGATTCTCCGCGTTGTAGTGGTCAGTTGAGGGTTTACTATCATTAACTTCAAAACTATAGGGGATGGCTGAACATCCTAGTTAAAAAAAAAAAAAAAAAAAGTTATTCAAGAGTACTTTATCTTTAAAATCACTTAATTTATTTTTTTTATCCAAATCCCATTATTTTTTGGATAAAGATTGAAAGCGTCTTAATTTTATGGCTTTTTAGATTAGTAAATTAAAAAAAAAAAAAATAGTTTCAATCAACACCAAAATACTTGAATTTAATTTATATGTATAATTAGTTACATATGATTATAACTGTCCAATATTATCTTGATTTTACTCAAATTGAATAGAAGGAGTATTTTCCGTAGGCATAGTTGTGGCTATGAAAAGGTTTTGAAACACATCG